AAGTATCACAGAGAAATTGAACAGGGGCTTTTGGATTATGGTAAACCTGAGCCACTCTACTTTTGGACTTTGAGTTAAATGATCCAGTATATTTCCTTAATGTTTAAGTAACTTTGAATTAGGTCTTCAGTTACTTATAGCTTATAAGTAAGTAACGGATACTCTGCTAATAGGAGAACTTCTGGATGGAAGAAACTGCTGTTTGATAGCTTACCACTAATACTACTAAATTAGGAAGAGTAGCTTAAAACAATGTTCAAAACATGATCTCAGCTTAGCCCATTACATTCTCATTGGTGGGGTAGTAAATAGGCATTAAACTATGTTATCATTATAAAATGAAGAAACTGTACATCTCCAACCTTCCATACTGTCTATGGAAGTCTTTTATAAAACTTGGATTTACAGTCCCAAGTTAGTAAAATATATATTAACTCTGTCCATACTTCTGTCAGTAGTATATACTTGTTGAAAAAATACATGTACTAATCTTAGGCAGCATTTTGCAAATAATTCTGTGACTGTTTTGTTGAACCAACATGCTAGACTTAACATCTTGCATCTCGCTTTATTTTGGGATAGTAACAACTTCCTAATAAAGTGTTGCTTCTCACAGAGTAGGGTGTTAACCCTTCCACCTAGCTGCATTATTCAATAGGAGAAAATATTTATTTGCATATTTTAGATTAGTTATGAATTTTGAATTTCTCTCGCCTATGAATATATTCTTTCTATGAGACCATGATATTCTGAGCCTATCATAACTATGTAAAGGGTTATTACTTAAAAGAGATGTTGTTCTAATTTAATTTACATGGCCTAGCAAATAGGATTTGCATTCAAACTAAAACTTGCCCTTGGGGTGGTCTTTAGAGGTACTATGACTATATCAGAGATTTCCACTTAAATTTACATTCTCAAATTAATCGTGTGCAATAAAAATGATTTCCAATTACTTTTTTGCAGCTTCTATTCAATAAAAGGTTTATCAAAAAGCTATATCTTTCATGAAGCTGGGAAATAGTACATGTATATCAAATTAGATAAACAGAATGGCTACTGTTATCAACACATGATTAAATTTTACACACATGCAATTGACAAAACTTCTGTCATTCTTTTTTTTTTTGGACAATGTATCTTTTTATTTCATAGCCTTTATTTTCTTTCTTATATGTCTTTACATACTTTCATAGCAATTTCTGTCTTGTAGAGACTTAGATTTGGGTTTTTTGAAAGAATTAAGCAAATTGTGTCAATACGGCAAGCTTAGCAATTTCTTTTCAACTGTTCTTTGTTTCTTTTACAAAAGTGAGTTTGCTTGTTTTTGTTTTCAATTTAATAAAATGAAATATTAACATGTCAGATTTGGAAAGGATCTTCATGTTAGTGAGTTCTGTTTTTCACCTCATGTGTAAATCCTCCTTAAACCAAACTTCAAACCAATAGAAAAGATTTGGAATTTCAACCCTACTTAGTGGCTACAGGAGTTTAGGCACACGTGGCTTATTGAAATACAGTTTTCTCGTCTATAAAATATCAGTAATAACGCTGACCTCAGATTTGATGCGATAATTATTTGCTTCACAATCCCTGCTACTGTGTGTAATTAGCAAATTTGATGACTGTATGTTTTGTATATTTATATAAGCAATCAAGCTAATAAAAAGGTCTTCGAAAGAAAAAATTGTGGAACACATAACTAAATCCTTTTCTCCAGTTTGTTATTTTCTCGTTTGAGATGGTGATTATTTTCTTAATTTATTTCTATTTCTTCCATTTATAAAGCAAGCATTTATATAGAAAATGTAAAAAACACAGGAGAGACTAGTGAAGAAAATTTAAATTATTACCAGTTGAAATCCAGGGCAGCTTAAATAGATAGATAATTCCCTCACTCTTGGATAACAGAAAGCCCCCAGCCATGTATTGTATCTGACAAATAAGATACCAGTTATTATAAATTAATAAGTGTGTTGATTATAGTCTAATAATTAGAAATTATGCAGTAGTTTACAGCTGGTTTCAGGCAAATGGCAAGAAAAGGGAGCTGGTTGGATTTTACTCTATTCCTCTGTCTAGTCATGTTATTGTAGGCTGAGTTAGAAAACAGTCTGCTCTGCCTGAGTTCCCATCCATCCTCAAGCTTACCACATGGATGCTTTGATGCCCACCCTCTCCTCCACCATGGCATCAGGAAGGCAGAAGGCCACAGCCATTGAAAACATGCTTTAGATCAATGCTTTTGCCAAGCTTTTCTGCTCACAGCCTTCCTATGTTATAGGTAAGGGTTGTAAAAGCAGTTTTCCCAGATCCCTTTTGTCAGTCCCACTTGGGTGGCCCAGCCCCTCTCTGTATAACGAGGGACTGGTTGGCACCTGCTGCCTTCGGACTTCCATGAAAACTGACACGAGAGTCTTGTTTTTACATCCAGTTATAATCACTCCCTTAGGATACATTATATGAAGTGGAGTTCTGCATCTAAGAATATGACCATTTTAAAACTCTTGACACATGCTAGTAAATGTCTACTCCAAATAAAAATATTATACCAATTCACACTTTCATCCTTACTCATAATACTGAAAAAAGAAAAATAGGGTAGACGAGGAGAATGGAACAAGGGGAAAAAAGCAGGAGCCTGAGCCTGAGAAGAGAGAAACGATATAGAGAATTGGGAGGAAGTGCATGCAGGAGATGGGGCCAAATCTTCTATCACTCAGGTAAAGCCATGTCAAGTCAAACTCCAGCATAAATAAATACGATTCATCTCTGCCAAATTATTTCAGTAGGAAGCTTATTTAATAGCTACTTATTTTCTAGTTCTAGCCCAGAAAGAATTATTGAGAGGTAGATTTACATAATCATTCTAGAACTCTTTCCATAGCAAAATGTAGAAAAATAGCAAAATATAGCAATATTAATTCAGGCCATAACAGTATCTGCATAGGCAGCATGGTGTGGCAGAAAGAAGATACTTTCTGTCTCCAGATTCTGCAACTTACTAGCTGGTTGATCCTGAGATAGTTGCTCAACACTAATGGGTGTCAAGCTTCTCATCCCTAGAATTAGAATAATAGTGTCTTTCTTGCTCAGCTCATGGGTTAATTAGGAGATGAGATTGGGTGGGTTTTAGAATTTGTGAGCTGTAAAGATCTTAGAAAAATCAGATATGTTGCCTTGTCAATGACTTATTAGGACCAAGGCATACTTGGAAGTTTCTAATTGATATATTTTAAATATATTTGTTGTCTTGTTGACAGTATCCAGCCATTGTTTTGCCGTAAATTAGATTTCCTATGTCAAGTGTACTTTGCATTTTTCTGGGTGCTTAGAAGCTACTCAGTAAATATTAGTTCTTGGTTTCCTCTCTCCTATCAGTTCCCCAACTATTTGCTTTTTCGAAATATCTGCTTATTTTACAATCATATTGTCATGACTCATTCTTTTCAAGTAAACAACAGAATGTATGCTTATGCAGGGAATCTACTGCTCCACATTCTCATATTCATTACATTCAATATTATTTGCATGTAAAGCATTTTCTTCCCAGCCTAATTTGGTGAAAATGATGTCAATTGTTTCCCTGTTGTTCATTTGAAATCAGCTCCTACATTTAATGAACTATGTATCTTGGCTTTATTTTCTCATGTAATTTAATTTTATTATATAAAAACAATAGGAATAACAAAATGCTTCCAGTGTCAATGGTAATTAAAAAAACAAACAGAAAGGTAATAAAATGCATTATTACTTTGGATAGATCCTTCCTTCTTTATTCACTTGAGAAAAAACATTCCAATCTTGAGAGAAAATGTAGAATGTGGTTTAGCGCCAGCGATAATTAGCAGGAACAGCTTGACGAGAAACAGTGATGGAAGAATCAATGACATCAATAAAGTAAAACCCAAATAAGGTTTCTGCTTTTCATATTAGGTCTTTACATATCAACTTAACCAAATGACTGAGAAATGACACTCTTAATCCCAAACAGTGTGCCATAAATATATTGTAAACCATTTTGACCTTTTAAAACTATGTCAAGCTTTTCCAATCTCCCGAGAGAGTATACTACATGGTTTTATAACTAACAATGCCTTCCTATTAAATGCTAAAATTGTTTTATCAAATGGAATTTTTAAATGAAGTTTAAAAATTGCAGAAAACCAGGACTAAGTGAAACATTTAAAAATTTTACTGATGTTCCACACTTAGGTCTTGATTGTAGGCTTAATCATGAGAAGAGTAATTTTTTTTATTTGTTTGCTTTATCAAACTTTCTTTGGATTGATCTCAGTGTCTTCTCATCCCTCTCTCATGACCAAAAATCAAAAGATCCAGGATTGTTTCCATCAGAATTTGCTGAAGCAAATGCATATTGTTAAGAACAAAGCCTTCTTGGTGAAACAGGGGAATCACATGCCCCGTGCTTAGCCCAGGGTTTTTCCACTTTAGCACTATGGATAGTTCAGATTGGATAATTCTTTGTTGCAAGGAACTCTCTTATGCATTGTATGGAGTTCAGCAGCATTCTTTGGCCTCCACCCACTAGATTTCAGTAGAACTTCCAAGTTGTGATTATTAAAAATATATATAGACATTGCCAAATATCCTCTTGGGAGCAAAAATCACAGCTGGTTGAAAGTCACTTTCTTAGGTTGAGACTTCTATACCTTTCAGGTGACATGCATATAACTAACTTGATAAACTAATGTGGCCAAAAAGGAAGAAGTCTAGCAGAGATAGGAGATCAAACCTCAGTAGACTATAGTGGTTCTCAATCATGGATGTATTAAAAATACCTGTGAAATTTAAAAAATACTGATACACAGACCCACCCCATATTAGTTGACTGAGGATTCTTGGATATAAAGACCAAGAATCACTGCCAAATTTACTAAAGTAGGTTACCCCATGAATCTGATATACTTCTCCTAGGGGCAGGCATACAAGTTTTCTTATTTGCAGTGCTCCTCATCTTTTAACTTCTCTCCTTTCAGAGTCCAGAGTTGCTTCTGTTGACCGTCAATTTCCAGTGGTGCAGAGGGGCTACAAGTGTGACACAGATTAAACTCTCTATAGGAAGTCTCTGATGGGAAAGAACAAGTTCAGGTAAAGACAACAGAATTCCTTTCACTTGCAACCACTTTTCAGTGTGGAGCCTAGAACTGGAGTTCTCAAAGTGAGATTTCCGAGAATCAGCAGCACAACCTAGGAACTTGTTAGAATGGCAAAACTTCTGACTACTCTAGAACTACTGAATTAGAAAACCCAGGGGGTGTGGTCCAGCAATGTGTGTCGTAGTAAGGTGATTCTGAAGTTTACTAAAATGTGAGAACCATGAACTAGAGACTTCCTCTGTATTCACTTATGTGTTTTCAGTGTTCTTCCACCTGGCCATATGGAAACCACACTTCATGCTTGGGATTCCAACCTAAAACTACTCTTTGTGGAATCCATGTCATATTTATACAGGTTATATTCTTCAGAAAATGAGAACTGGAGGTAAAGGAGAGGTCGAGGGAAGCAGAGAGCAGTAGACACAGACCTGGCCCGAATGAATGAGCACAGAAGATCTCCAAACTGGCTGCACTATGGGCCCATTCAGATCCCCTTCAACAGCTTGGGGTGACTTCCACAGGTAATAATTAGCAGCTAGTGGGCCAAGAGAAAATGACATAATGAGAATTATTGAGAAGAGGAAGCCACATGCAGAAAAACGAGAACTTGATTTTAGGCAGAGCCTCTGATGATTGAGGAAGAAGAGAAGCAAAGGCACCTCATGACTTTCCATATTACCTTTATTGTAAGTGAATTACATTCTCCCATTCTACACCATTAAGTTCAGTAGTTTTACTTTTACAGGTCAATAAGAGAGGTTGGTTTCTACATTACAAAGTGTTATTTCCTAGTTGATACAATTATCCTTTGGGGGACAAGACTGGGAAACTTACTTTCTAGTGGAAAGTATCAGTATAATTTTTATGTGGGTACTAGGCTATAGAAGGGCAGGGGTAGAAAATGGCTTTAATTAGAGGATATTGAAAGAGTCTAGGAGAAAGATTCTGTTGACAGCAGTCCAGGATGGTAACCAGAAAAAGTATGATAAAAATGTAATGTGAGCTTTGAGATCTAGTTTAGAGGTAGAGTTCTTAATATTTCCTGATGGATTTCTTTTTTCTTTTCTTTTTTTCTTTTTTAGAGACAGGATCTCATTTTGTTGCCCAGGCTGGAGGGCAGTGGTGCAATTGTAGTTAATTGTAGCCTCAAACTTCTGGGCTCAAGCAACACCCCCTGCTTTAGCCTCCAGAGTAGCTGAAACTACAGGCATGTGCCACCATGCCTGGCTAATTTATTTATTTATTTTTTTTGGTACAGACTGGCTCCTCCTGTGTTGTCTGGGCTGGTCTCAAACTCCTGGCCCAAGTAAGTGATCCTTCCAACTCAGCCTCTCGAAGTGTTGGGATTACAGGCATGAGCCACCTTGCCCAACCATAAATTGATTTCATTACAAGAGAGGAATGAAGAATGACTCTTGGGTTTTTGCATAATCATTTAGGCGGATGTAAAATAACTGAAATGGAGAAATTTAGTGAGAAAAAGTATTGAAAATGTTGAGGAATCAAGTAGTTTTGACCATATAAGTTCTAAGATTCTTATTATGAATACAAATAAAGATGCCAAGAAAGCAAAATAAGTCTAGAGTACAGGAAAAGAAGATTAGCTTTGAAATTTAAATTTGAGAATCCTTTGCATGTAGATTCATACAGCCTTCAGAATGGATAAAGTTATCCCAATAAGAAGAGAGAAGAGAACAGAAGAGATCGCTGAAGTGTGGGGGTTTTTCAACTTGGTATTCTTCAGGCTCAGTAGTCTGTTATTTTTATCATGCTGAATTCTAATTTCCTTGGATTTAATGTAACACTTTATGATGGTCATATTTTCTTTCTCATAATTTTTAGCTGCGCAATTAAATTAAAGTAGCCCACTGACAATAGCTTCTCTGTTACCCTTATGGCATTGCAGCTTCCCATTGGGGTTGACAGAGCTGGTGCTCAGGTAATCAACATCTTCCTGAGCCTACAAGAAAGCATTTGGGACAACTTGACAATGCATGGTGAGTCTGAAAGTTTGCTTTTTTTGTCTAAGCATTTAAAATTCCCTGTTATTTTCTTTGTTTTTGGCTGCCTTTGGCTTAATTGTCTTGTCAGCTGTTGTAAGCCTGACAGCCATATGAGGTCAAGCAGAAAAACTGAACTGGAGAAATAATCATATTTCTTCAATGTATCATTTCTGAAAACTGGATATGAAGAGAGAATATTCGTTCATAGGTATGGCATAACTTCCATTTTATAGCTAAAAGAAATCTTACCCCAAATGGTGACAATTTGTAGAATTATGAGTTGAATATTTGTATAAGTATATGAGTTGAATATTTGTATATTTTTTAACATAAACGATGCATTATTTTCTGCCAATAAATGTTATGACTTTTATATCAAGTAAAGATATGTTGTTAATAGGATCCCAGCAGTTGATGATATAACTTTTTGTGGGCTAGACTAACCACATGGCTTCCTAGTTGGGCTGTAAAGGAATCAACAGCTAGTTTAGAGTTACTGGGGGTAGCATTTGGAAGATTTAACTTGTCCAGTTTGGGCCACTTATTAATATTATATATTGCTTATCCATCTTTTGCAGTTCTTTGGGGTTCCTTCCTTAGACTTAATACTCAAGGCAGGTTTGATGGAAGGCTTTCTGTAGACAACTCACTTGGCTCTGACATACCAACAAAGCCTCTCTGGAGCCAAGATAAACCCAAGGCTCATTTCTGCATTTATTTATTGATACAGCAAATGTGGTGTTTTTTGGAGATTATCAGAAAATCAGTTCTACATAATAGAAGTGAACTTGCACCCTGATATTAGTTCTGTGTTCACTTGTCTTTTCTTTTAGAAATGTGGTCTTTTTGCATCTTTGAATTCACTCTTACTGAGATATCAGTTTTCATGTCAAAGGAAAAGAATAAGAAAATGAAACCCTATGATTCTGTAATACTGACTTTCTATTCAACTAACAAGTAAATTGGAAAATGGGAAATGAAAGAGATCATGTCTAGCTTAGAGCGGCATCTATTGAAGGCCCAATGTGAAACATATTTTGCTCTGGGCATATCTAAATGGGTACTACAAGAAATATAAATATTGGCGAGATTGCTGGTATCTAGGTTTCCTTCTATATAGAATTTCTACCCATTTGATATAGATGCTGGTTTTTGTAGAGCTGCAGGGCTAAGAGAAGGTAATGTAGATTTTCTCAATTTGTTAAAGTTATATAAACAAATACTCACTTGAACTTCCCATAGCACAGAGTGAAGAATTCAACATTTACTCATTTCTTACTATTTTTTAGGCACTGTGAGGTGTTCTGGGTATGAAATTAGAAAAATACGAGCATCCTTTGTAAGGAACACACAGTTTCTAGCTTTGCTCTAAGAGTAAATCTGACTAGATCAATAGGACTCTAGCTCTTGTATTTTCTTGAGTTTTAGAGACAAGAGCTACCAAATTTTGATGATTAATTTTGTGTGTCAAATTGATTGGGAGATGAGATGCCCAGATATTTGGTTGAACATTATTCTGAGAATGTCTGTGAGGCTGTTTCTGGTGAGATTAGCCCATGAATTGGTAGAAAAAGTAAGGCAGATTATCTTCCATAATGTGAGTGGCATCGTCCAATCCATTGGAGGCCCAAATAGAACAAAATGTGGGGTAAGGGAGAACTTACTCTCTGCCTGCTTTTGAGTTGGGACATCGTTCTCCTGTACTTAACCTGGAGCTACACTGCTGGCTCCCTGGACTTCCAACTTGCAGACAACAGAGCATGAGACTTCTCAGCCTCCACAATCATGTGAGTCAACTCCTTATAAATCTTTTTTATACACGTGTGTGTGTTTGTGTGTGTGTCCTATTGGTTCTGTGTCAATGGAGAACTCCGACTAATACACCAAAGAACTCCAGGAGATGTACAGAAACAAAGTATGTTGAATTCTAAGAGGGATACCCTATAAAAATCTAAGGGAATACTTCTTGTGAAATATATTAGATACTTCATTACTACTAACTCTGAAAACAACAGTCTAGGTTTACCTTTGAGAAGGTACTTTTGAAAATAAAGTTACCAATATCTAAAACTAAAGTTAAAAAGTGAGATTAGACAAGCTAAGAATAGGTCTATCTAGCACACAGAAAAACACGTGCAAGTTTACCATATAGTCAAAACTAAATTTTGAATTTATGGAAATGTGACACAAAACGTTGGAAGGGCATTTACCCAATTTGCAATGAGAAAGAAACCAGAACTCTATGACCAGGCAGCAAAGAATGGAGCTGGGAGACGAATAGCCACTTTTCTTAGCTTCTGACATAAAATCTTTAATTTTTTATATACCTGGTTATAGAGATCCAGGGTCAGTCAAAGGTTACTGACAAAGCAGAGGCCCAGATTTCCATTTAATTACAAAAAAAAAAGTAGCTGTTTGATTAAATTTCATGTAATATGCAGCTATCCTACAATACAAAACCCATAAAAGGATCAAGTGAAAGAAAAACCAGAGGATTATTGTGGTTTTTAAAAACAATAGTCAGCAAGAACAACCTACCACAGGTGCACTCAATTGCTGGGCTTTAGTGAGGGATTGTAAAGTTTTATGCTCTAAAATTCAAATAACAGAATGGAAAGAAACGATGTTGAAGCATTTTAGCCCAGGGTCCTGGTGTGTACTCACAGTGTGCTTAGACATCATGGGCAGTGGAAGCTGATCAGCATTTGTCTGGCAATTTTCTCATCAGCTCAAAATCACCACAGAAAGTTCTAGATTTTGTAAGAAACATTTTTATGGTCACTTTTTAAAAAATTAACTAATAAGTTTATACTTCATTATATGCCTGCAAATAAAGTATATGCCTGAAAATAGATCCACGATTACAGGGAGAAAGCTCTACTCTCTTTTAGGCTCCCTTCTTTAAAAAAAAAAAACTTTTAGGCCGGTCGCGGTGGCTCACGCCTGTAATCCCAGCACTTTGGGAGGCCGAGGCGGGTGGATCACGAGGTCAAGAGATCAAGACCTTCCTGGTCAACATGGTGAAACCCCGTCTCTACTAAAAAAATACAAAAAAAAATTAGCTGGGCATGGTGGCGCGTGCCTGTAATCCCAGCTACTCAGGAGGCTGAGGCAGGAGAATTGCCTGAACCCAGGAGGCGGAGGTTGTGGTGAGCCGAGATCGCGCCATTGCACTCCCGCCTGGGTAACAAGGGCGAACTCCGTCTCCTAAAAACAAACAAACAAATTAAAAAACTTTTATTTCAAGTTCAAGGGTACATGTGCAGGTTTGTTATTCAGGTAAACTGTTATGGAGGTTAGTTGTACAGATTATTTGATCACCCAGATATTAGTTTGGTACACATTAGTTATTTTTCCTGATCCTTTTCATCCTCCCACTACAAAATGGAACATGCATGCGTATGTTCATTGCAACACTATTCCTAATATAAAAGAAATGGAATCAACCTAAATGTCTATCAGTGGTAGACTGGATAAAGAAAATGTGATATATAGGCACCATGAAATACTATGCAGCCAAAAGAAAGTTAAGATTATGTCCTTTGCAGCAACATGGATGGAGCTGGAGGCCATTATTTTATGCAAACTAATGCAGGAACAGAAAACCAAATACCACATGTTCTCATTTATAAAGTAGAGTATTAACTACTATTTTGCTAACTGCATGATAAATTCATTGGATGTACTTTATGCAATCACTGTCTTATGTGTTCTCATTTAGATTGCATTCAGTTTTTCACTATTAAAAATAAAATGTTAGTAAACATTAAGGAGAAGATAAACATGATTGAAAGTTCTAGATTTTGATGTGGGAGATCTTCTTCCTATGACTAAGATAGAAACATATGGAGTAATGTGGGCTCGAGATGGGAAAAGATTTTTGACCTGGTGATGTATTGACCTAGTTTGGACACCTGAGGATGGGGAGGAGAGGCTACTAGTTCAGCAAACAGTAATAGAACACTTTAAGACAGGAGAATTAGGAAATCATAGATATAATTATTTGGAAGGGTAAGTAAAGGAACCACAAAGATATTCCATTTAACTGAAAATGTGTAGAATAAAGTGAGGCATATTCTATCTGGCAAGTATGTTTAGAGACATACTCTAAACTTGTGAGTGGAAACCTGGAATTTGGATTCTGCCCAGCTGATAGATGCAGGCGTAGCAGTCAGCCAGCTAAAGGTATAGCCACTCACCTCTTCATAGAACCATGTAAATCAGCATAATTCAGGGACCTCAGCAGTATTAACATTTTGAGTTGACTAGCTCTTTGATTCAAGGGCTGTCTTGTTCATTGTAAAACATTCAGCAGTATCCCTGGCTTCCATCCATGAGATAGCATTAGTACTTTTCCTGTGTAACAACTAAATATGCCGTCAGAGATTGCCAAATATCCCCTAGAAGGCAAAATTGCCCCCAGTTGAGAAATGCTGGCATAGATGATAGTGTGGCAGAGGTAATGTTTTTATCAGTGATTGAAGTTGTCTCCTCTTTCTCTTTGCCTTTTCTTAAATAACACAATTTCTAGGCCCTCTTATCTCACAGGGAGGTTTGTGGTAATGTAAGAACTACATGACAATTTCCTTTCTTAATTTTCTTTTCAAAATCAAGTCTATGAGGACGCTATGCTGTGTATTGTTCGGACAGAGAAGGAAAGGGCTTCTGAAGAAAACCTGAACAGAGAGAAGGATTTACTCCAGCTAAAAAGAATTTTTCAAAGACAGAAAGAAAAGATAGGTGTCCATGGCATTGTGGAGTGGTGGGGGCTTGTGCTTTGCTCCTCAGAAGATACCTGATGAGATGGGACTCTTCTGTGGAGAGTGGTGGCTACATTAGTAGCCTGCTTCTTCAAAATAGATGGTCCACTCAAAAAACGGGGTGGAAGAAAGATTTATGAAGGGATCATTTACATGGTTCAGAGCAAGATTAAAACAAAAAAACAAGAAGGAATGATGAAGTGCTCCTGGGAGTGAATGAGAAAGCAAGCCTGAAGATGAAAGTGGAGGAAGTGGGTACCAGGGCCTGTCACTGTAGCTGCAAGTCTGTGAGAGGATCATCCAGCAAGGCTTGTGCCATTGTTAGAGTAACACATTCTCCCTCAGCACAAAACCCCACAGGAGGTTGCTGGGGAATAAATTCTTCAATGTCTATATTTCTTACTATGCTTATATCTTCTATTAATACTTCCCATTGACCTAACCAACTGGAAACCAGAGGCAACAGAAGTAGAGTGATGTAATATGTAGAGGCTGATGCAGCATGTGTTTACTAAGATTTCCCTACAGCTAATGATATTGAGCATGTTTTTGTGTGCCTATTAGCCATTCATATAACTTCTTTGGATAAATGTCTGTGGAAATGCTTTGCTCCTTCGAAAGCTGATTTTTTTTAATTGCTGAGTTGTAAGAATTTTTTACATTTTCTGGATATAAATACGTATCAGATATATGATTTCCAAGTATTGTCTCTATCTGTATTTGTTGCTTCACTTTCCTGGTGGTGTCCCATGATGTACATACATTGTAAGTTTTGATAAATTTTAACTTTTCAATCTTCCCCGTTATCACATATGCTTTTTGTGTTATATTCAGAAGCTCTTGGTCGTACCTGGGTCATAACAATCTACTCCTTTGAGAAGAGAAATAAGGTCATAACTAAGAAAAGAATTCTGAATAATACCCGGTCCTGGGTCAAGAGTAAGAAAAAGTTTAAGTAACTAGAGAAAGAGCAGTCAGTGAGATAAAGAAAAGCAAACTTGTCTCAAAGTTTTAGAAGCTAAAAAGGTAGAGTGTATAAAAAATAAAATGATAGTGACCTGTGCTG